AAGGATGTTACCTACAGGGTGTCTACAGCATCAACCCTGTAGCCGCTTGTCTTTCAGGCTTCCTTAAGAAGGTTATAGATTGCCATGGACTGGAGAACTTTGAAAACATAGTTCACATACTAGGACACAGCTTGGGAGGACACGTCGCTGGAAGAACGTCCTCCCAGATGCAAAGAAAACATGGCATCCAGTTCGCCAGACTCACACGTATGTTTTATACCCTATTTTGTTATTAAGACCCCAAACTTACTTACTAACGTAAATACCAGTATTCCCGGTCGGTTGGTCTCGTCATCAAGCCCTTCCAGTACACATCCACCTTCTCATTCGGCTCCTACTTTCTCGTTATCCTCCGGAAAATCTTGCTTTGGCCTTGCAGCCGGTTTTCTGCCTTCGCCCTTCAGGATCATTTATGGATATGTTTTTTATCAGTGGGTTGTCTTATTTTCTAGAAAAAGTTAAGTCCCCATAATCTACTTAAAAAATGAAAAGATATGCCAGCACCCTCACCTTTACAACAAAGCTACCAAGGAAACCCATATTAAATAGAAATTAACGACAAGGTCTATAATAAATAACTGTACTATTTAAGTAAATAGATTCACCAAAAGCGACATTACCCAAAATAAACACATATTTTCAAAAGTTGTGCTTATTTTGCGATTAGGTAGGCTTACTTCGAAAACTTCTTATTTCAGATTTCAATTTTGCCATTTGAATTTTTGTAACATGCATTCTAGAATAATTTTCAATGTTCAGCTAACAGTGCAAAAAAATTGTATTTCTTTTTTTTTGTAATTTTTGTGCACCATACAGTTCGGTACGCAGCTAGGAAAGTCAGCCCAAATAACAGAAGCAACAGCCCAAGCAAAAGTTTAAAAAATATCACCAACCTTGAGGACACCCCTCCTCCTCCATTGTTTGATGAGGGGTTCCGATGTTTCATTTTCCTGTTTAATGACCTGCAGTCGGTCAATGAGATAAGATCGAATCCAGCTAGTGACACCATAGCCAATACTAATAGTGCATTTTAGCTATTCAATCAATAAACAATGATAAAGATAATTTTCTTCATTAAGTTTGGAAAATGTGCTTAGGATTTGATCCTGCTCTGCCACTCTTCTTCTCTGGTGATGAAAACAAAGGAGTAGCTGACTTCAGGGATACATACCACAGCAACATTGGTATACTTGGTCAGAGCGCGGCGGAGGCGGATGTTGATGTATATCTTAACAACGGCCAGTTCCAGCCAGGCTGTGGGTGCGGTAAGTTCTGTGTTTACTAACAGGTTTCTATTGTATTAAGTAATTAGCAAATTCCTTACTCTAATTGTATCGATTGTATATTCTGTCAAACGAAGTCTTCTTTAAAGCCACGTGTATGTATTTGGGTGGATACATTATTACAAAAAGCGTTAAAACTAATTACTATCTTGAAAAAAATCTAATACTAATGCCTTTGCTAAATCGAAAAAAAATTGTTTACCACCATCACTTAAAGTGCATGCGGGAATTATGAGTTTCTAACACATGACTCAACGTTTAAAAATCTATTAAATCTGAGAATACATTTCTAGCAACAATATGGTGATTGGTGAAATTCTTAAGTTATAACTTAAATATAGCGAAAAGATGGGGTTAGTACAAAAAACTGTCATAAAAAGTTGTTTTTTTTTAAATTACGTATTGTTATTAAAATTATAATCTATTATCCTCTAATCTCATTTTCAAAACTGCCGGTTAAATTATTTAAACCATTTAAGTTTGTCGTAATCCATTTCCACTTGTTACGGATAGATCTAGCGTGTTCTCATATGAAGAGTGTGTTGTACTTTGCGGAGAGTATCAACTCTGAAATGTGGGGGATCTACTGTAGTGCCTGGAGTAAACTGGTGGACGGCAAATGTGACAAACATGCAGAACAAGACCTGAGACTTCTAGGTGACAAGGTGGACCAAAACGAGTGAGTTTTACATTTAATGTTAGATACACACTTAAAACATATACCCTAAAGATAGTTGCAAGATTCATTATTTGATTAAGATACTACCATCATCTGACTTTTTACGAAAATACGAACTAGGGCCATTTATTTTAAGTACAATCATCATCAAAAACAGCAAGCCCAGTTTTGAAGCATCAAAAAGTTACAAACATCAGAGGATTGAACTGAAGACTATTCAACTGTCACACAAACACAAGTAGCTGTACATTAAGGAATGTGAATACTAACGGTAAAGTGTTCTAATTTTTTTATAATAATATTTTTTTTAGGAAATATGTTTCATTCATTACTTTCGGAAGGGAACAATCGCCGTACTTGTTCGACAAGCAGGAGTATATCAATGATAACACCTTCAATGAATTTGACAATATAGGCAGAGAAGAATGTTCAGATGTTATAGAGGATAAAATTGTTGCCTACTTGAGTGGAAAATAAAAGCTAACACTATTAGCTCCAACTCAAACATTGTGTTGTAATTGTTGATCATAATAAAGTGTTTGTAATCAATTTTGTGTAACTTCACTCACCCTACTCACTAATGTGTGAATTGTTAAAAACTTTATAAACGACTAACTGCTGAACCTGTGCTTTGCTATGGTGAGAGGCCGCAGAGAAGAGAAAAAAGTCGTTCTCATTATTGTTCATTAAGACACAAGTTGCTTATTGCATTGACACATAAACTAAAAACAATATAAACAATTTTACAAACACTTACCATATTTACCTTAGATTTTAGAAACCAAAGTTAACTACTTACGGCTTTGTGTTGTAGCATTACCTTTAGTTGAATTTAAGCAGGTGTATATCTAAACCTAACCACTAAATGTCTAGAAACGTAAAAGGACGTAACGTACAGTGCGAATTGCAATTAAATATATTGTCATCAACAGAGCACCCAGACATGACCTACGATACCTATGACGTAGGGTATGAATCACACGTCAAAAAACTTAACATTTTATAATAGTATGCTAAGTATAGACTCATAGTAGTTCCAGTATTCAAAGTATATAGAAAAAAGATAAGTAGTATCAATCTATTAAATAGAGAAACCTTCAGAATTTACGTAGCAAAGCAAATTGTGTACAAATCATCTCTTAAACCTATAAAAAGTATATTAATCCATGTTTTGAAAAATCTATGTATTTATAACTCTGTTATTTCGGAGGCCTAAACCAAACACACGTAAACCCTTTCAAATTTTTAAATTTAATCCAAAACATGTATACATCATAAGTTTTCCTAAGTTTTGCTCTAAAATCAATCATTAAAACTACTCATATAGCATAATTAGAAAGCTCGCCGGCGTGGCCTTTGATATGTCAACGCAAATGTATAGCTACGTTGTGAGTTTTCTTATCATGATATAGAAAAAAAATTAAACTGTAACAAACAGTATTTTTGGCTTTTGGCCCTTACCTCAGAACTTTGGACGTCCACGGGCGCAGCTTGAAGGGATTAAGGGAAGTGAAGTTGGGGCTTTCACCTCCACATTTGGAACGGAAGGCGGAAGATAATGGGGATAGGTGTACTCTTTAAGCTGGTCAATGGCCATAATTGTCTTGCTGTCGAGTCTTCGTGCTTCTTGGCAACTCGACGAATATTCCTGCCTTCTAGCTATAGGAAGTGCTCTTATAGTTAGTTATTTCACGGGCTCTAACGTATTTTATAGATTTTTTAATCCCAATATATTATTTTCTACACTTTTACACTAACATTTTAAGAGCTATCATATTCTATGCTTATTATTGTACTTTTTCTTTTCAATTTTGTTCACTTCTTTTTGAAAGTAATAACCAAATTTTAATGAGATCATTTGTCTTTTATCAGATATGTTGTTCTGTCATGATTGAACACTTTTTTACTGAGTAAATGTAGCGTCAATTGCATCATAGGTCTATTGTTATCCTGTTTGTTACTTAAAATTGCATTATTTTTCTCACTGCATATCATTCGTGTTACCACATTGCTTTACTTAAAAGTTTGTTTAGATGTATATATTCCAATATTGTTCTAGTTATTTATCTCGTTATGTTTACTAACTCATTTTACTGTTATCTATTCAAGTTTTTGTTCTTCTTCTGCCAATACTGTTGGCTACTAATGTATGTATTATTATTATAAAGGGAGTAATCCGTTAGAAATGAATGAATAGGATCATTATTGTGTTGAATGTAAGCGGTATTGTCCAAATCATTTTAGTCCTGACAGCCAGACAGCCATACGAATGCCACCTCCTTTTATAGAATTATATAAAATGGAAAATGAAAGATATCGTGAAAATATAAACATTTCTTTTGAATTTTTAAATGCCTATTCTTTGGAGACGCATAAGCATAAACTTGGTGTAAAAATCACAAGTGTGTGCACTGCTTCGACATTTTACTGTGTTATTTTATTTTTTTGGCGCAGCATTGCTCCAAAAGTCATTATTTTTAAAAGAGCTCATCACTGAGGAACTACTACGAAAGAATGTATACATACAGGCACTTCGTAAGGCACAGTTCCGAAAATGAGTTTCGGAGCTGCTACTGTTGGAGCTATGCATGTCGGACTTTTTGGGGCAGAGCCTGTATCTCATCTGTGATATGGAGTCGAGTTTTTCTCGATTGGTAAAGCTAGTAGAGGCCAATCTTTTACTTTATGAGCCTTTTTTATTAGGGAAACGATTGCATAGTTGATAGGAAGCCTGTTTCCTCTTGAATTTAAAGTTTTAGACTACATACCGACTAGTTTAATAAAACCCACTCCTTCAAAAGAAGATACATACATAGTATACAAGTGTTTTAAATTTCCAAAATTAATTTTACACGCTATTTTTTTGTAAACACCAAATTGTATAGCAACTAACATACGAGGTGATACGCCAGAGCACACTGAACTATTACACCATAGCATGGCTAAGCATAAATTAAATTATGTATGCTCGTCAAAAACATTACACCTTAAAGATAACCATGACAATTTATTATAAATTCGTGGGTGTTGACATATTTTTCCAAACGTGTTTCCTTTAGATTTCCTATAGATAACTATATCGTTAGGGACAGTTGTTTGGGGTGAATTTCCATATTGCATGTCCTGTTTGTACTATCGTCCCTCATAGCTTTTGACTGTGTTTTAGTTGTATTATCAAAATGGTTAAGTCATTGTATTTAATAATTTTCTTCTTGAATCTGTTTGGTGAGTAATATATATGAAAATATTTGTTCACACACTACTATGTGTTGAGCTGTTTTCGTTAGTGTTTACAACCTGCGGAACATCATATTTACAAAAGCTGTCTATTGTTTACTACAGAAAGTAACATTGTTAACAACCAAAATTTTTTTACTGTCAACGACTTCAAATATTTGTTATTGTTTTATCAACTGTTTTAATTTTTAGCAACTAGAGGAAATATTAACTTTAAGTTTGAAGGCATAAACTAAAAAGTTCTTTGAGTTTTGTAATGGAGAAAATAGTTATTCTTTGTTGTGTAGCGAAAGGTTCAAAACACTAGTGAAAGTGGGTCAACACATATTCTTGAATACTTGAAGTGCGAGAGTTATGGAGCATAATCTCAAATGTGTAGTGACTCACTTTCTACTCTTGTTATGAAATATACTATTAGTACTATGATTATATGATTACTAGCCCTTACTTAAGTGGTGTATATTCATAATTATCTTAAGGCATACCGTTGAAAAATAAATTAAATACGTTCATAATAAAAAAAATTATCAATGGAAATATTTAAGCTATTATCTTATGAACTCTATTTTATTGTGTATCTTATAACCAAACTCCGAGTCATTACTGTTTAAAAATGAAATGGAAATAAATAATTACTAGCTTTGTTGATTAAATAAACATGTTTTCTTATAAAAATTTCGAAAGCTTTATGGAGGTGAGTATATTGACCAGCACACGTGCTTAATTCTATATTCTAATATATTCTATATTCTAATCTCAACACGTGCTTAGTGTGAAGCAAGCATGCTGTTTTAATCAAACCCCATCCAAAAGCGAGGCCGTAATAACATTACTTCCTTAATGCTTTATATTCTATAGAGTTCTTCAAGTATCTAAATCTAAATCACTCTTAAGATGGACTTGAAACTTAAAATAAACTAATGCTAAGCAATTTTATATATATATACGTTAACTTTTAACAGATTAAAATATTTCAATACTCTAGTATAAAAAGATGATTATGTCTATTCTGATTAGGGGCCTCTATTGGCCAGTTGAGTCGTCTGATTCAGATCATAAGCAGGACGTGTGACGTAGCAGATGACACTACTTGCGCAGGAAACGGCGTCACTTTCTGGCTGTACACCAAGTAAGACTAATAATCCTCATTAAATAATTCATTTGTAATGTTTTTACTTTAAGTTTTAAGACAATAGTGTTAGTTATATATAAATATTCCTAAATCAAAAATAACTATAGTAAAATACTATAAATTTTGGCCGTGGATAAACTTATTACGACACCAATGAAAATTAATTTGACACATGTTTCCAATCCTCAAAGATCTAAAAACACTGTTCAACAGTTTAGCTCTAATAAAAAACAACTTAATTTAGTTGTACATTACGAGACTAATTCACGTAGCGAGCCAAAGGTTGTGTTTCTTACTGTATGCTATCCTTATGTCTATCATGGGTCACAAACAGTCTGAGCTAAGATCACGGTGTGCTGGAAAATATTAATTCGGTTTTATAGATGTCTGATAAGTGACATTATCTACTCAAACCCATGTACAGGTAATTGAGAAATCGCTGTATTAAGTTTAAAAACATGATTATTTTTGAAAAACTTAAAATAATTCTTTGGGAAGCAAATTTTTTGACTTGGGACCTGTTATATGCATCATCTCAGTACCAATCTCCCTGTATATCAAGTTTGGTTTATTTATTAATTTAATGTCTATATTATTAACATTTGTTTAAAAGACACTTTTTTACCTTCCCCGTAGAAACAGACCTACTCGTTAAATCTAATATTATTTAAAAATTGAAATTGGCTTAGTTCGCATTTTATCTATTGCAAGGGCATTTAATAGAATCAGAGATCGACCTGTTAAGAAAACCACATCTAAGATTGGTCTACACGTCAATTCAACTATTTTGAATATTTGAAACTCAGAATCCGTAACTGGTGCCAGCACATTATAGACTGATGTTATGAGATGTTATATTTCAGTTTGACTCGAGACACTCCAACACAGTTGAACCTGAACACTCTAGACAAGGCTCCATGGGTGGACGGAGCCCTTAAGTTCATCGTGCATGGGTTCTCCGTAGACAAGGACTCAGCTATAAATGCTGTTCTTCGACCTGGTAGGCCTATGTGTACCATGTGTCAAGTGAATAATTGACATGAATGTAACCTATACATTTAAATTCTATTAATTTATAATATAAAAATCAGTTAATTGAATATGATCAGTTAAGTTAGTGTAATAGATCAGTCAATTTATGGGAGTGCAGCTGATCTTGTAATTCAAGTTATAGTGCGGGACTTTAGTCTTGAAGGCCTGCTGGGTTCAAACCTAGCTAAAAAAGTATAACAAAGTTAGGCCTATGTGACATTGTCACGGGGTAATATGATGTGAGTTCACCTACATGTGTTCCTAATTTTACAACATATCGAGTTTATATTGAATTTGTGTACAAATAATTGTACAAGATAACCACTTTCCAATATCAACAATCAAAATAAAGTGAAATATTTGTCATAAGAAATCAGTTTTACCTGCTAAGCTTATCTTACAATTCAAATTTGCTTTACAATTCGTAAATCAAAGTATTGCTATACCTAATCTATTTAAAAAGTAATACTCACTTTGGTGAAATCTTAAGGCTTCCAATGTTGTCTATTACAGAAGACATAATTTAATGTTGATTTAAATGTGTTTTCAGCTCTATTTTCAGTCGGCGAGTACAACATAGTTTCCACGGACTGGAGCTCTCTCGGACGCCAGGGCTGCTATACACAGGCAGTCCGGAATGTCCGGACGGTGGGCAAGTGTGTTTCGGACTTCTTCAATGCTGTCGTCAGGACTCGTCAGTTCCCTTCTGTCCATCTCCTGGGACACAGCATGGGAGCCCACGTAGCAGCCTGGGCGTCCCAGGATATACCTGACTTGCCGAGACTTACTAGTAAGTGAAGCCCACTATTGCAGTTATATCACAGAAAACATACTACTATAACCCAGAATGCTCACCGCGTGAAGCTTTGCCTGTAATATTTAAAATACGGTAGTAACTTAAACAGTTATTATCACCTATAAAACTTGTCAATAACCATTCTCACTTCTGCCATGTTGAAAACAAATTTATGATAAAATTAATACAAAGCAACTAATTTGATTTACTCTGACAAGAAAAACAATTAGTTTGTCCCTATCAGAACACAATACTATTACTGTACTTTGCCAGTAATTTATAGAAACAAAGATAGTTGGAGAGTTACGTATAGAGCAAGTGCATTACCGAAGTCATTGTTGCAACAGCTGTTTGCAATGAATGCAGTTGACGGCTGACAGTTTATTTAATTAAATTTACCTGCAACCTGTATTTATTTAAGATTTTTGATTTTTTATAATTTTTTTATATTCAATTACAAGTAAAGCTACAAAGGATCGATCTTTTGCTAATTTGAAATGAACTACCTTTTTTGCAAATTGGTGAGTCATTAGCATACTGTGCCGACCTGATGTACTATTTTTGAGAATTTAAGAAAATTATTCAATACAAGATTGTGATTACTGTAGTATACTACCTAGTCTTTGTTGCGGAATTCTAAACATTAAATTGAAATGTTGTACTTTAAATAATTTTTTAGAACGTTTTATTATAATTGTTAAGGCTTAAATATTGCCACTTAGTTTTATTTCAGAGTTTGACGTCGCCAACCCGATGTTCAACAACGACCACTCTAGGAGAGGCAGAGCTGGCTTCATAGACGTGTATCACTCCAACTGTGGACTGAAGGGACAGAGAAATCCCTCGGGAGATGTTGATGTCTACTTTAACAACAATGTGTTCCAACCTGGGTGTAAATGCGGTAATACCATGTAATCTAACTATCCATTTACTTACTCCGTAACATTCATTATCAGCTGTTCTACTTAACCGATGTTCATGATTGTCAGGTCATTTTAAAGCGTCAAGCGTCTACAGCCTGACTGATCACTTATTGCAAACGCAAAAAAAAACTGGCCACTGAAAAACAAGAACTAGTTTTTTTGATGACGTATGCGATCTGTCGTCTGTTTTGTTTCGATCTCCCACTTCACTCTTCACTTAGATCTTAGTTCTTAGCTGTTTGATTAGCTTAGCCTTCTTTACCTTTTTGTTCTTGGTACAATGTTTTTTTAAAAGAAGTTCTGAATTTCTTGTGGTAAATTATTAATGTTGTGTCTGGTAATGAAAAATAATGTTAATGAAAATGTCTGGTAATGTGTCTGTTTCTCTGTTTATGCTATGTAGCAGACGACAGGCCGCAGTCATCAACAGGTTCATCTTTTTCAATGGCCAGTTTTTTTCCTTTGCAATAAGTGATCAGTCAGGCTGTAGACGCTTGTAATTATGACGAAGAAGGTTTCCTGCTCACTCCTATTACTTTCAATTATTTATAAACTTCACTTCAAAGATCCAGTGTTGCTGAGATTTCATGGTGGTGTTTTTCGGCGTCAACCTTATCGTCACTTATTTATTTTTGTCAGACGTGTCGCCCTTACTGTGAAGTGACACCCTCAAAGCTAGACTGGGACTAGGTTGTTCCTATACATCACTTGTATTTCTTTGGCAGATACTGGCTGTTCCCACCTCAGAGCCGTAGAGTTCTATGCGGAGAGTTTATCAACCCCTCTGGTGGCGTTCCCTTGCTCTGGCTGGGACGAATATAAGGAAGGGGGATGCACTACACCTAGGACTGAGGACTTGGTGGTACTTGGTGAAAATGCTGACATACGAGTGTGAGTTTAGTATTTCATTTACAATTTGTCAAATAAGGAAAGTTGAGCCACCGATAGAGTGTGCTGATGTCAAATATTATTGTACTTTTTCCTTGCAAACCCTTTTTAACACCAAGCCGAACTTTTAATTTTATCACAGAATTAAATATAATACAAAATATTACTTTAATATTCTGTGTCCTTGATAGCTGTGTTCTCTTTGAATGTTTTATCATGGAATATAGCTATACGATGATTGGGAAAGGATGTTCAGTATAATATCTTAAGTAATTGCTAATACCTACCCACCTATAATAATGTGCGATGTGATAATTTATCATTTACGTAAATGCGTGTACTATTTTGTTGTACGATGAAAACAGTGAACCTGATTGATACAGTACAATCTATATTGGTACTCGTACCTAATACGATGATTGGTTTCTTTGTAACGTTACTTTTTCGCCAATTCTACTTGACCAATCTTTAAGATTTTGATGATAGTTTGAATCGTATGATCCAGGAAATGGGAGGGAAAAATGTTAACTAATAAGCCCATTTCATTTAGGGCCTACCAATATCATTCAAATAAAAGTAAATACATGCCAAGCGAATTTTGTACAGCTGATAGGGTTGAAACTTTGAATAATTTATAAACATTTTCTGATAACAGGTCTAATTACTATCCCACAAAAAGGTATGTAGTCATAATAATATTGGTTTTAGTAATTTTACGTACTAATAAGGTTTAAATTACCTGGCTTCTGTCATCGATCCTCGGTAGTTTTATGAAACTACAGCTGTTTCATGCCTATTACTGGCACATCTTCAGGTTTGTTGAACGCCAGCTTCTTTATAAACAACAAACCTGAAGATGTGCCAGTGATAGGCATGAAACAGCCGTAGTTTCATAAAACTACCGAGGATCGATGACAGAAGCCAGGTAATTTAAAACTTATTAGTGCTAATTTTAACGATCCAGAGGCCAACCATCATGAAATTTTACGTAACTGAAAATGTGGTGAAAATTATGAAAATGTCGTGCTATCAATATTTTTTTTTACATTTTGTTTAGTGTTTATATTTAGGTATTTTCTGCAAAAGATTAAAAAGGTGACAATTGTGATTTAAAAGGAAGGGGTCGTTCATGGCGTTCACGAATTCCAAATCACCATTTCTTCTCCACGCAGATGTATACACAGAAGAAGCCAGCTTTAACGGGTTCAAAAACATCGTAGCCTCTGAATGCTCAATTGCATACAACTTCAAGACACTTCTGAGAGACTGGTTGTAATGTGAACACTGTAGGAGAATATTGCATTTGACGAATGAAAATAAAGTGTCATTACAAGATTATATTAGTCTAGAAAATGTTTATTTTTGTCACTACAAACTTAAGCAGATTTTAGGAGGTATAATTTATCATACATTTGCCTTTATACTTTATGCATGCTATATAAAACTGTATTAAATTCAGCTCTAGCTGTTAATTATTTTTATAATTTGACAAATTAAAATAATATTCAAACACATATTACTATGATTTCTAAAAAGAACATCACACATTATAGAACATACCTGATGAAAACTTTCAAATGGTATTATAGTACTATCATTGATAAAACATACTCCCTTAGTAGATTTCTCATCCTTATGGAACAGCTGAAGACAATTTTATTTTTAGTTCTGTACGGTATAGAGGTCGTGTTTTGTTTACAATTTGTTTCCCCTTATTACACTCATTTAAAACAAGGTGTAACCAAATAATACAATCTAATCATAAACAATAACTTGTCCCCTAGTAAATCACAAATCAAGAAATTAACCCTAAAATAATAGAAACAAAATTTCGTCGGCACTAGCGCCCAGTGTCGCTAGTGAACATGAACTATACACGAAAAACGTGCTTCAAAATTTACAATGGGATGAGAAGTTTACTTGTGTTGGTTGGTCTATGGTACTATTCAAAATTTTTCTTTATTCTCCTACAGTTTATTGTAATGCATCTGATAGAGACTTTTGAGGTCATACGTTAATATTGTTTCCATAAAACGATATAATGGCAGAACCTAAGGCAAATGAATTACGCTGATGCTGGTAAATTGTGAATCACAAAATTCATTGTTTTTACGCTAAGCATACTGAAAGACGGTTGTGAAAATAGAAATCAAAAAGTGATTCCTCTCACAATTTTACCTATGAAAATGACCGTACCGATCAAAAGAGTAAACTAAATACAATCTGCGTTTGTATTAACAAACTATATCGGCACAACTAGTCCGTCGGTTGTTCCAAGCGGTCTAAACAACTCATTTGTTTCACACCTACAAATGCAAGCGTGTGATCGATGCTAAACGTCGATGAAACAACAATAGTTTGGTCGGTTAGGTCTCGGTGTTGGGCACACAATGCTCCGGGCAATTCAACTTTGTTTACTGTTCAATTGTCAAAGAGACGTAGGATATCAAACGCTTAGTTGAAACGTGTATTTTACTTGTTCATTCAGATTATTTGAACACCAAAACAGTGAAATTGATTGAATACTATAAACATTTAATTGTTACCCGTGCTGTACGTGTATTGGTATTTTTTACGTAGGCCTAGCATTTTGAGAAGTTTGTTGTTGGATAGTACATTAGGTACTTTAGCTTAAAATATAGTAGACATAATCTGTAGTTTTAATTGTAATTTGGGGGGAGGGGAAGGCTGGTCTAGTGGTTAGAGCGTGGGACTTTGGTCCTTGAGGTTCCTGGTTCAAATCCTGCCAAATCACCAATGTTTTTTATTTAAGTGATATTGCCGCAACCCCTAGGTCTAGCCTGAAGTAATGTGAAAAACAATCCCGGGCCCGTTCCATTGTGTAATTTTAACAATCTGTAGCCCCAAAAATCTGTAATTTTAACCAAGACACACATTGTTTCTGTAGTTTACTCATCAAAACTTATATTTATTTTCATCTGTTTTTTACATTTATTTGTAAAGTGTAAAAGACAGGATAATCTAGCTTTATTTAACGTGAAACTATTTTATTGAAAACGAATTACTAACCAATAGATAACCACTGTCAATGGGATTACAAGTATAAACCAGAGTTTAGGGACACAAGCTTCTACAGCCTGACTGATCACTTATTGCAAACGAAAAAAACTGGCCACTGAAAAAGAAGAACCTTCCTGGTTGATGACAAATATTGTTTTGGAATTCTGATGTTCTGTTCGGCCAGGGGTCCGTCAAGCCTAAGGCCGGGGCCACACGTGGCGGATCGTCCGCGAGGCTTATGATCGTACGATCATAAGCCGCGCGACGATGTCCCGGCCACACGGAGCGGATGAACCGCTTCCGGTTGAGGTTTCCCAGCCTACGTACTGAGGTTCTAACATGGTTTAATTCACTCGTTCTCGTTGTAGTCATGGAAGAAACACGTATGTTAGTTTGTGCATTAGAAGCGTGTGGTGAGCTAGAGCCTAAGGCCCCGGCCACACGAGGCGGTTTAACCGCGCGAAGTTAAGGGCTTCGACAACACATTGAATCAAATGAGAGTGGCCACACGAGGCGAAGTTTAGCCGCATGTGCGGTTGAGCCGCAACATGTCGTCCCCCGACCGCGCGAAGTTAAGCCGCGTTGGAGGGGATGACACACGTAGTCTTATGAGAGTGGCCACACGATACGGTTCGACCGCGCGGCAGCCGCGCTTATTGGAAATATTCTTCGGACATTTCCAGTGGTTTTTGAGTTTGTTTTGTGTATTTTTTACCGGATGTGTGTTGTTTAAACAATGTTTGATACATATGAACTCCGAAATATGGTTTCGCATTAGCTCGTAAAAGGTTTGGAACACAAAAAATTGTTTTTCCGTTATGAAGGGATGGACCCAATGATTTATGTTAACGTTCCAGATCACCACACGCTTTTAATGCACAAGCTAACATAAGTGTTTCGCCCATGACTAAAAAGAGTGAACTGAACTATGTTTTAATAGAGTACTGATACTGGAAAAACCCAACAGGAAGCGGTTCATCCGCCCCGTGTGGTCAGGTACTTCGCGCGGCTTAACTTCGCGCGAAGATAAGCCGCGCGGCTTAAATTCGCCTCGTGTGGCCGGGGCCTAAGGCAAACCGAAATCATTGGGTCCATCATTTCATAACCGATAAACCATTTGTGTTCCAAACCTTTTACGAGCACATGCGAAACCATAGTTCGGAGTCTTTTTTTTTTTGTTACTATCGCATGTAGATAGCATCGTTTGACGAGCTACTTCAGTTGCTTTGACCGCATATAACTAAGGAAGATATACTCATGAGAAATGTACAACATGAGAAATCCCACATTGTCTTTAACAAGTTCTATTGATTTGTCTGTATCGAACATTTTACACCTATAAACCGAAACGCACAAGCACAAACTAAAAAAAACAACTACAAATGCTTGAAAATGAGCTCCACCCGCGCGATCAATCCGTATCGTGTGGCCACTCTCATAAGACTACGTGTGTCATCCCCTCCAACGCGGCTTATGATCGCGCGGACAATCCGCGACATGGCGCGGACAATCCGCCCAGGCGGCTTAGGAACGCTCCGTGTGGCCACTCTCATTTGATTCAAATCAAATCAAATCAAATATTCCTTTATTGCCAGTTAACATAATATTTACATGCATGGCTTGCGTCACAATTTTGAAATAAAATACATAATAAACAATGACATAGCTACACTATTACACATTTACAGAAACACATCATGCCTAAAACAAATAACATATTTATGATGAATTGTAGTTAACATAATCTTTTACGCTGTAAAAACTATTTTCTAAAAGAAATAGTTTGAGTTTACGTTTAAAATCCCTAATATCACTAACTGACTTAAGATTGTCAGGCAGTGAGTTGTATAGCATGATGGCATTGTAAAAAGCATGTTTTTTGAAAAAGGAGGTTTTGTGGTATGGAATGTTCAATTTGGATTTTTTTCTAATGTTGTATCTGGATTTGGGAATCAAAGGTTCAAAAAAACTATGGTTTTGTTTAAAAAAAAATTAAGGTATTGAAAATGTAAATGCAAGGAAAAGTAAGAAGTCTTAATTTGACGAAAGCTGATCTACAAGACCCTCTCTGGCGAATTCCAGCAATGACCCGTACAGCCTCCTTTTGAAGTGCAAAGATGTGCTTTGTTGTAGATGTCTCAGATCCCCAGATAGTGACGGCATATGACAAATAGGGAAAAACCACCGCATAGTAGGCAGATAGAAGAACTGTTTTATCTGTGAAAGGAGCAAGGCGACGTAACACAAAGATTCCCGAATTAACCTTTCGGTCGACGTTGTCAGTTTGACATGAGAACTTTAGGTTTTCGTCAATGTGAAGCCCTAAAAATTTCAAATTGGTCTTCGAAGATACTATAGTGTCGTCAATCCAAACACTGAGATCAGTTCGATGTCTTGACGATATGCTGAAGTCCACCAAAGTGGTCTTGTCATTATTTATGACAAGACCATTGTCAAGAAACCATTGGACAACGTTGTTAGACTCAAGAAAAGTAGATACTTCCATGGAACCGTGGGTGGCTTTATCAACAACAATTGACGTGTCATCGGCAAACAAACACAAATGGGCATCTGATACACTATTTCTAATGTCATTCAATGTGTTGTTGGACCACGCGGATCATCCGCGTGGTCCGTCCGCGCGGATGATCCGCGTCGTGTGGCCCCGGCCTAACCTAGCTTTCGGGTCTATTAATTGTTTATGGCTGAACCTAAAAAATTCATTAATATTTGAGAACACAGCAGTGTGTTTGTTTACCGCACTGTTCCCAGCAGAAACAAAGTCCTTTCGATCCTCTTTTTCATTTCCTACCAGACACATATTTAATAAAGTTAATGTAATTTACCACAATAAATCCGGAACAAAAAAAATCCAATAACAAAATAGTAAAGAATGCTAAGCTAGGTCTAATCGAACAGATAATGGTGAACTGAAGCGGGAAACTAGACTCGGGCGGGAGAGCTAAACAGAACAGACTACAAGTCGCATACGTCATCAAGAAAAACTAGTTCTTCTTTATAAGTAACCAGTTTTTTCGTTTGCAATAAGTGATCAGCTGTAGACGCTTGTGTTTAGGAACATCTATATTCTTTATATTCTTGTTGCTGCTTAGCAAATATTATAATGAAATTAAAAAAAACATTTAAGCCTACCATAATTTTTGTTCATGTATGTAACATTGTATTTACGTTTGAAATGCACCTTTCTACCTTCTACGTATGAGCATTTTTTTTACCTTTTTAATATTTTTGTGTTCAAAGTTCAATACATCCTCCTGTTGCTCAATTTGACCAATT